GTCTGGAATTACAGTGTCACTTAAAGAGACAACCGTTCTGCTTGTGAAGGACAGCTGTCTATTGGTGTTGGGTTCTTTTTGATCCAATCAAAATTAGTAAAATAAAGGCTGTTTCCTGTTTCCCTAAAGTAGCAAATTCAACAAATAAATAAAAAAAGTTCCAAAATATTAAAAAATATACAAACAACATATATTGGCCTTGAAGTGGATATTCAAATATAGTATTTTCAACAATAAACAACACGGTTTCTGAACTGGTCAGTGCTGAATGTGTATATCAAGGAAATAAAGCACATACAGTACCACCATTTAATGTGTGCCAGTATTTAATGTGTTGAGTTGGAAATATTTTAATATAAATAATGTTTCTGTTAATTCAAAATATACAGTATAATCAGCTTTGCCTGACACTGATGAGAAAAGTCTGTTTGAATACAATGACAACCGTTTTATCTGCAGAAAGAAAAATATGCATTATTAATAACTCAAAGTACTCTTTTACAAGCAATATCTTCCATGACTTCAAGCACATTGAATTTCATACACGGCGAATTTCATATGTGCTGATGCAGAGCGTTTTCAATTTGAGAAAATGTTACAGTGCTTTGCAAAAGTGTTCATACCCCCTGCAAATGTTCCACATTTTGCGGTTGCATTCATGACATTTTCAAATAGGAGGATATTCTGTATCTACAGAGTTTAATCTAAAGTAATAAAGGTACAAATTAATTATTAAATATTTTTGTAAACGACAAAAGATTCATGATTACATGCAGTAAGTACTTATCCCCTTTGTTATGGCAAAGCTAAATCAGTTCAGATGTAAAAGAATACTGTATGTGAAAGGTCACTAAAATAAGTGTATAGTAATATTCTGTGTGAAAGTGTGAACTTTTATTCCCCCGTCCCTCCACTGGATCCCGCTCCGGCTTTTAACTCTGTCTGTCAGGATGGATTACCCGGTCTTGGACTTCTGCTACACCCATGGATTTGCCTCGGACTGCCTTGGACTGTTTGCCTCGGCCACACCTCCCCTGAACACCAGCACACCATGAACACGCCCCCTGTTTTCCTTCTAGCCCCTTTGCATGCTTTTCCCCCCGTGTTTTCCTCACTCCTTCCCGGATTGTGTTGTCTACACAGGGTCCTGAAAGAACGCTTTTTGACAGGTAGAGACCTATCCAAAAACATGGACAGCGGTAATCACCATTAAAGGCACTCCTACCTAGCACTTACAGTATTCATAGGGTTGAATACTCTATGCATTTTCATTTCATATACTGTATCTTCTTTGTAGATTTTGCAGATGTCCAAACTCCACAAAAAACCCTACCACAATACATATGATACCAAATGTGTATCAGACTTCAGAAATTCTATTCTCAATATTCTATTATTTAATATCTAAATTTATATATTCACAAAGGATGAATATATAAAGATTTGCATGGGAACAAAACAGCACTTACAGTCACTAAATGTGGAGCATTTGTTTTGCATGCAGGTTGTTAGTTGTGTGACTATTTGTCACAGCTGATTAATTCCCATACCTCTCTGGTCCTTGCTTGTTGAATACTTGTGAGCTGAAAAGATCTATAAACATCAGTGGCAGGACTTGTTAACATATGTTCCAACCCAAAAGCAAAGTGTCAGCCAGAATGAGAGAGGGGAGTGTTTGCCATCTAAAGAGATGCTGCAGTAGTTTTTAATATTAAGAGCACATTTAAAAGTTTAAATATTCTAATTTTTGACAGTTTTTATTGTCCCATCATGAAAATGGAACAAAAAACAAAACATACTGTAGTTTAATGCAAACAATGTAGTTATTTTCCTTTATACTGTGAAGTGTATGGTACTGAAATTGGCTATTTATTCTTTTTTTTTTGTTCCTTGCAGATCGAGAAAACAAAGATCAATCAAGTCAATGTCAAACATTAGGAATAAGACGCAAGTAATAGGTTTATTCCATGATGAAAAGAGAAGAAAGAAAGCACAATGCTTCAGTCTTGGAGTCAAACTTGATACCTTGATACCCGAAGAAGGCTCCACAGTCTTTCTTCTCTTTTCAGCATGGAATAAACCTATTTCTTGTTCCTTTTGCAGCCTACGGATTGCTGACGGAGCTAACCACCTGAACTATATTTGGAATAAGATTCTCAAAATACAGTACACAGTATGAGATATGAATACTCAGAAAAGGCTATGGACTGGACTAACATTGGTAAATTATTTTTTTTTCTTGCACACATTAGCTAAGTTTAAAATAAAGCCTTTCTTTACAATTTATAGGAACATGAATGGAACAGTAGAACAATTAATAATGCAGGAATTAAAAATGATTGGACATTTAACCTACAACCAAAAACAAAAATGGTCAATGGTCAATGGAAGGATGGCAAGTATGATAATGCAGTTAATTTGCAATAACTTTATTTATTCATTTAACAAATAAATAAATAAATGTATTTATTACAGTATCTTTAAAATATGTATTAAAATATACTGTTGTCCCTCATTTTGTAATGTCTTTGTGTTTTCTTGTATGATCTTTAAAACTGTCACTGAATGCCATGCAATTTCATTATAAAATTTACTGCTAGTCAATAAGTATGCATTATTCTCATAAAACATGATCCCTGAAATAATTCAGTTTCTATTTAGAAAATTAGGAAGTTGCTGGCCCGAATTTGTCTGAAAAAACATTGCGTACAATTTTAGAATGTCCTTGCTCTCAGACACGTGTTTAGCTTCACTAGTTGACACAGCAGTACCATGGATGACTATTGCACAATGGATAACAGGGAATGTACTGCATGAACCTTTCAAGTTACACTCCACGCACAATATTATTATACAGTATGTAGTCATTCTATATTGCAAAAGACCAGATGCTCAATGTATATCTATGTTCTACAATATTTCTTACTACTATAATTGATCTTACTTCTATCATTATTCTTTTGTGTTAGAAGAAAATTTAAATAAACTGTAGGCTTTGCCAGTTTTTTATAATTAATATTGCCTTTCTCAGCTATTCCAGTACTACTGTGTCACTGGCTTGATTTGACAGGGACCCCTTGCTGGGAAGGAGAGGATCTGAGCAGCCAAATGTTTCCTTCCAGAACTACTTGCCAACATCCACCTCCTGGCTAGCGGATGCTTGGCAGTGGGATGGTGTGTGTGTGTGTGTGTGTGTGTGTGTGTGTGTGGGGTTGGGGGGGTGTTAAGTTCCTGCTTCCCTCCCACATACTAGAAGAAAACTTAATGATGAAAAAGATAAATAAATGCTGTGTAATGTGTCATTCACATTAAACTCACAACATCCCTTAAATTGTTTTTAGATGCCAACAACAAAGTCAATGTTGTCTCCTTTGCATCACACCCATCAGCCTTTGGTACCACTGACCAAGTGTAGAATAACAAGGAAATAACAAGGAAAGGTTGTTCTCTTATGAAAGGAAGCCATTCTGCCATTTAGCCTATTCAGCTTTTTCTTGAAAGAAGAAAGGGGTTTCATCTTTTTCAATACTCCCACAACACATTGGAATAAGAAGTGCCTTCTGTTCTTGGCTTTAAATACACTTCATGAATATGACACAATATGACATTTATGGCACAAAAGTGCACCATTGGTAAAATAGATTTTTTCACCAAGATGCCCAGTGCCTGCTCAAGTGCAGCATGTGATAAAGAGAACAAAGTGAAAGCTGCACAGGTCTGTTTTAATCAGACTATGATTCACATCGACTGAGCTGAGGCAGCACATGGCATAACTTTTACTCTCTAACCTAAGAGAATAATAGCAGACAAAATTAAGATAGAAAGCAGCTTTAAACTGTTTACCTCAAAGGACCTTGAACAGAAAATGTATGATTTAGGAAGCTGGTGAACAGGAGTTCTAAATGAATGATTAAGGTGAAGAGGGAAGACCTTCTGTACTGTACATCATTGCTGTGTGCAATGAATACTAAAACCTGCTTGTTGCCATTCTTCCCTGAATACATTCCTGCAGTCTGAATTTTTTTCTTCGTTTCCAAAAAGGACAAATATGCACAAAATTAACAGTTTCTGCGAGTTGCCCTATCAACAGTATTCCGCAGTTCATTAAATGTCAAAATGGAGCACTCTGAGGTAAAGTAAACAATTGAATTACATAAAACATAACAATATGTCTGTTGTTATTGACATCTAAGAACAACAAGTATTTTAGTGAAGAACTTCTGCTTTTTATTAATGCCTTCATCTGTGCAACTGAATACTATTGCGTCTAGTGAGGAGATGTATCGCACTGAAGTTCTCTTGAGATTTCTTCTGTAATCAATACATTTTATTGACTGTGCAACATCCCATGTAATAATTACAGACACTTCAACAGTGTACTACTTTGGACAAAAATTTCACTTTCAAGGCTGGAATCAGCTTTTGTAGCTGAAAACAAATGGTTGGGGGTAAACTGGAGACGTTTTTTTTTCAAGTTTGATTGTCTGCAATGTTCAAGCTTATATCCATTGGAGAAAGGGCATAGTTATTGAAATTGCATATGATTGCATCCAGAGTATGGGCTCTTCTGGTAGTATTGTCTACCATCTGTGACAATGCATCCACCCTGGCCAATCTGTGAACCAGCACTTTATGACAGTGTAGTCATCGGTATTAAGCTTTACAGCTTGGCTGTAAAACTGGGCAGTGTAGAAGTATGATTTATGTACATATATGCAACCTGTATATGTTGTATGTTTGTTTTTAAGGAGACAGTAACTGATCAGCAAATATAATCCACAATTTCCCCTCGTTAAGATAACCAAAAACCCCAATCAAAACCACTCTAATTCTCCAGACTACTTATGTATAGAATAACAAAAAATACAGAAAGCATTTCAATCCAAAACCATGAATATTTTCCATGTTCTGTGTTCTTTACACACACAATGTCCCACCAAGCTTGATATCGGTTCAGAATGGCCCAAACTCATTAGATCTGGGCCATCTACAGTACATACCTCCAAGTTGTACTCTTCCACTGTCCTTTTTAGGGGATCCACTATCTGCCAGCAAATTAAGATGCAGAGATCAATTAGCAGCATCCCACCGACTATTATCAGCAGCTTCTGGTCTTTAATAATCTGTAAAAACAAAACAGAAGAGAGGCAATGAAGAGGCAACAGTAGCCAGTGCTTCTGATTTTCGACAAAGCCATTTTTTGCATTCAGGACTTCCTTTGATGAAAGACAAGTACATTGATCTTTTTACAGCATTTGACCGGAATGGAAAACCAAAGGAAAGGTCAAAACACACCATGCTTTTGAAAATCGGGTATAGAATTTATTCATTTACATCATGTACAAAACAGTGCAAAAAAGAAGAGGGTTTGGTGGTTTAGGAGGTGCTGTGATGAAAGGTTTAGGCCAGAAGAAGCCAGGTTTGATGTAATGTACCTAAAGAAGTTTAGGGTAAGAGGCAAGAGAGGTCAATTTTATCATTTTCACACCATAATAGTCGACTCATAATGAAGTGTCACCATAGGCTTGGGAAAAATATTTGTGCATATATTGGTACATCAGCTCATATCTGCAGTGTAAATAGTGATCAAAATGTATTAATAAACATTTATCTTTTTAATTTGAACGAGATTGATAGCAAAAGTTAAAACATTTTCAAGCATGATGAATTTTAAAACCAAACACATTTTTATATCTATCTTTTAGCCCACACGGGTTGATACAACACACTCAAAATATTTTGTGACAAAAATAAAAGATTTGGAGGGAAGCTTGTAGCTTTCTCAATTATGATTGCTATGCCACAGGAGATTCTGGACTATCATGGCAAATTATGGTTATGTTCCCTGATTTAAATATAGTAGATGTGCTTTGTTTGCCACATTTAAGCTGTTTTGCAATAACATCCTAACACTGAAAGGGCACTTGAGTGAAAAACCATAGTGTATTTTAATATAAGGTGTTTTTTGCACCTCTGAATATAGCAAATCCCCACTTCCAGTATATATTTTCAAAGAGTCATTTTCTGAAAGGTTCTTTAGTTACTGTAGATGTGAAAGACAAGATGAAGTGAATAACTTAGCCGAGTGAAAATATCTACTTATTTAAAAGTTACAATATTTAAAACATAAGTAGTTTATGGAACCTCACTTATTTTTTATACTGATGCACAATGAAAATGCAAAAGGCTTGGCTTGGCATCAATAGCTCATCGAGCACATGCATAATGATATTTGCATTGTAAATAGTGAGGAGATTTTTTGATTGTTTGAAGAGTATTGTGCTTGTTAGCAAAATAGTGAGCACAAGTCATTCGAGTCGAAATGATAAAAGAGTTGACTACAGAGTTTAATTAACAAAAACTGATTAGAGCATGCCCTGTTTGAGTAGTTATGATTGCCTGGTCGTGTTTGGCATGATTCTAGTGCAGAGAATGCAGGAAACTGGCTCTATGAGAGCCTGGATGCATCCTAGAAGTCAAAGAATTACTGAATGGGCCTAGAGTCATTGCATCTATTTGATGGACCTGTGCAATTGTTCTACACTGCAGATTCCAAAGCAGAAGAAATTCCAGAAAGACATAACCAGTGCATCATTGAATGACTAGAATTTCCCTTCAGAATGAAAATAGTATGCATGATGGAAGGCAGTTCAGGGGTAACATGCTGACAGCTGAGAAGCACAAATTGCCATCTCCTAAAACGTAGAATAGAATCTATAAGCAAAATATATCTGAGTTGGCAGCAAAAAGACAGGCGGTGTGTTTTATTCAGCAAGAAAATATTTTGCTCTTGACTGATGGAATGCAATGCAAAGTTGTGATGCCGAATGCTGTATAGTTTACGACAACCACAGGGACAATGGAAATATGATGTGGAAAGGAATTTCCTTTAACACAAAAACAAGTGTCACCAAACTCTCAGTAACGTATAGAAGAAGTCTGTAAGCCAAATGTTTTTCCTTTCCCACAAGCTAATCAAAAAGTGTTGATTTCCACTAGAATAATGCAAGGCCGCATAGTGATAAGATTATAGTATTGTGCCAGAACAAAACGGCATCAGCCGAGTGTTTGTGTGTTGAAAGTCGTCTTTATTTCATATACATATGGACGTCTTGCTTGTGGAACAAGACTTAAAAACCAACCTTTATACTGCTTCTTTATATAGTGGAACAAACAATACAAGATACACTTCTCACATGACTCTCTGCTTGCCTTGTGGCTATAAATGGTAATTCTAAAAAGCTGACCATTACATATATATCCTTTATTGCCTGCTTGTGTGACCATCAGCCCCTTCTGCTGAATTGACCCTTTGTTCCTAGAGAGGTCATTCGGTCATTTCCCTGAGAACTATGTCAACTGAGCATAAAGATATCATGTGGCTATGTAATCTTTGAGACTAGATATCCTGAGATGGCCTTAGAAAAATATAACTAAAATGATATATAGCTGACAAGATATAATACGAACTTATACTGTAGTAAAACACTTTTAGTTAATTCCCTCAATAGTGTAACGTCAAGCTACTGTAGATATGTCAATGTCCTGCTAGGACCAGCTTTTACTCTTGACCGGAGTCCAACTGAACATCTCTGGGACAATGACCAATGCCATCAGTAGGAGACAACCAGAACTGGCCAACCTTCACCAATTGGCTATGGCTGCATTAGAGGAGTGGAAGAACCACAGCAGAGTATCGTGAGGCTGATCAGGTTAATATACCCATATGCCAATGCTCTGTGAGGTCTCACCTGATATTAAATTTGTAATGTTTTCATTATGAGAAAGTACAGTATGTAACAGTTTACGCTAACAATATATAATTCTTTTATCTGTATTATGTTCACCTTTTCAGATGTTTAAAATATTTGTTTAATGGTATACGGTACCATTAAACCAGAGTCTTGTGTTCCTTTTAATTCACACCACCATAGCTGAATCATAGTAAGGGCATGTGTTTAAAACCAATGCATGCCCATAATTTATTGCATAACCTTTTTTAAAAAAATAATAATCGGAAATTGCTTTCAAATAAAGGCCTGTATTTTCATGGGAAAGATTTGCTCGGAAAGATTTTAATGCTAACTCCAGCCGGAAGACGGGGCAGTCAGCTAAGCCATTATAAATACATACAGAAACTCCCTTGGCCATTCACTCTAGACATGGTTTTAGGGCAGATCAGCCTGGAGGTACAACACAGTTAAACAAAACTGTTAGTGTACTGTTTGAAATTTCTAGTGGGAAGTGTGGGCTGATAGGGCTACAGTGCTTTGCATTATATTCATGAAAAGCACAGACCTATTGTTGCTGTGTGCATCCAAGCAAAACAAGAGATTGTTGAACCTAATCAAGGGCTCCCTTTGAAAATAAATTAAACGTTTCATTGGAGACATAACATGCCTGAATCACTGCTCCAGTATTTGAATTGTAAAGTCAGGGATGCTGAAGATTTTAGAGGAAGTCAAAACTCTTTAACAAATAAACACAAACAGATCTCATGAGTCCTTGCTTTAAAGTATATACAACATACAGTAATAAACATTTGATTTTTGGGTACATACATGCATTTGATCATATTATAACAAAACCACACATCCTCTGATTTCTTAAGTATTGAGACATATTCATATTAATTACATTTCAAATTATGAAAGCACATCCCTTTAAGGCACAATATCATGAAGTCAATGACCCATTAAGTTCACCACATTCTTTATATAATCATTTGAGATACTTTGCCAAGCCTTTGCTGTGGGCACTCTGAGCTTTTGCCTACTCTTGGGGTATTTTGACATTTATTTCTTCAGCATGTAAAACGCATGCACAATTGGATTTTGATGTGGAGATTTTCCACTTGCTGTGGTTTCCCCCACAGTCGAAAGACATGCTAGTGAGTTAATTGGCTTCTGGGAAAATGTGCCCTGGTGTGAGTGTGTGCGTGTCTGCCTGTGTCTGTGTGTGCCCTGTGAAAGACTGGTATCCTGTCTAGGGTGTATCCTGCCTTTCACCCTTGCTTGCCAGGATAGACTCACTTTTGGGAACACTAGCAGACTCTACCAATGCCACACAGATAACATCCCAGGAATCGAATACAGGGCTCCAGATTCTTGAGGCACCAATGTGCTGCACAGTGCTGCCCTGTGTTTAGTTTTTGCCCTACAAAAAAACTCTCATCGCATCCATATACAGGTAGTTCAAATTTTAACTGATCTGTCCAGAGAATTTTCTTCTAGTAGTCTTGTGAATGGTTCAGGTGCTCATTGTTGAATTTCAGACAGGTAGTAATGATATTTTTCAGGGAGCAATGTTTTCTTCCTGGCTCTTCCTGGTGGCTGTGGCATGAACACTGACATTAGCTGCACAGAGAGAGAGGCTTGCAGAGCCATAAATGTTACTCTGAGATTCTTTGTGACTTCATGGATGATTTTCCAGGGTGCTTTTGGAGAAATCTTGGCAGGATGACAGACCCTGGATAGAGTCACCATTAGCTTGAATATTTTTCCATTTGTAGACAATAACTGACAGTAAAAAAAAAATCGAATTAAACTTTGTGCAATGGTATACAAGGTGCAAAAATACTGATTTAGACATGAAGTATTTCATTGTTTTGCACTTTGTACACCATTGCATCTCAGAAAAAAATGTTAAATATAAATCCTTATTGCTATTTAAGAAAAAGAATGGTTTCAATTAAAAAGGCATCATGGGTCAAACATTTCTATATCTCATTTATACAGGGGGTCCATAAATATTTCTTTGCACTATACTACAGTACATAACATTGAACAATAAAATAATTTCCTGAAAGAATTATGTAAGATATGTACATTTATAATGTGCAATGGAAAGCAGTGCAATATGTCTATAATAAATACTGTATATATCTGAGAGATAAAGACATTTAACGTGTGGCACATGTACTAACTGAGAACAAGTCATATCCTTTTACAATAGCAGATAAAGAGGACAAAACGTGTTTTATTCACTTCTGGACACTCCTAAAGCTTGTTTTCCTACAGTGCCTTCTGAACAAAATACTGTATACACAAAGGATTAGGATGTGGCTTTATATGATATTGTCTAAAGAAGCTAGACATACTATATTAATCTAAATATTGTTAAT